TATATATATATATATTGGACACTTGTCGGAGAAAGTACTAGATCTAGAAGAACATGGCTTATTATATTTGATATATTATGAATGCATAAAGTCATTATGGCGAGGGCAAAGTTTAAATTTGGCAAGAAATTCTAGGAGATGATGGCATAGAGAAATAAGATAAAATGAAAAAGTTAAGCGGAGAAAGATTTTAGCACTAGGAAACTTGCGAGAGACAATGAATAGTAAAAACAGTGTTAGCGACAAGTTAATCGTGATAGGGCATCAGAACATAGGATGATCCCAATTTCTTGGCAAATGGAGCAAGGTTGAACTTGACAAAAACAACAATACAATATGATGAACTAATTCATTAAATTTATAAGTGAAGTATTAAAATGAACTTAATTTTAAATCCACTTCAACAATGTATTGTTGTGGCAATTTTAAATTCTTACTGCCGTCCTTATGAAATAATAAAATAAGATTTTATATGGAAACATAACATATATACTTATTTTTCCCTTATCATTTAAGAAAGGATGTTTTTTATCTAGTTAAAGCAAGTTATAACACTTGTAAAATCCCTACGATCTAAACTGAGGTAGTGGCTGCAACTACAAAATTTTCCCCAAAAAAGAAAATTTTGAAATATCTTTTATTTAAAATCCTGGAAAGAGCAGTTCCAGGATGTCCTTTTTCATAGAAATGATCCTCTTCCAAGATATTCTCACGGATGTTAAGATCATGTGTATAAGACTAGCTTTTTAACTTAAATTTTATACTTATTCTTGCCCTGGCTAAATTTTCTGGTACATATAGCACAATACCACATTTACCTTATGCAAATAATTCAATGTGTACGTACAAAATAAATACTAAAATATATTTCTTGGTGCTAGACTATTGATTTTATTTCTTAGAAGCGATTTTCATCCATGTGATTTCTATTATAAATTTATTAGTGAGTGCATTGGAGCGCAAATAAATTAGAAACCAAGTACGTTTCTACGCATCATATAAATTAGCCAGCTTTCACAAGCATTATACTCTAGAAAAATCTATATGATCTCCACCGGAAATTGGACAAAACCGCATGTTCTAATTGTATAAAACAATAGACGGTCATGCTTTACGTAAATTTATGGTGGTTGTCTGGCACGTAAAACAAAAACATTTGTTTTCTTATCTTTTTTCTGGAAAATAGAAAATGAGAACGTTCTGATGCTATTTTTATAATCATATGTCTATTCTCACTGATTATCACATTATCAACGCACTTATAAGTAAATTTTTATCTTCGTTTTTGACTGATTTTTTCTACTATTCTTTCCCTTCTTAATCAACGGAAATAGCTAACAAAAATAATTAAATAAAGGTGATGCCTACCTGCCAAGTTTGTAATCCACGCTACATCTATAAGAACAAAAATATACACTCTACGGCGGCAATTTCTGCAAGTCTTCTGACAAATCATTCTGGCATTATTTCACGTCAGTGAAGTCAATGTAAGAATCATACAGAAAATCATGCTGTTTTATAAATTTTATAAAATATCTAACTATAACGAAACATACAAATAACTATCAATTGTACAATAAAATTAAATAACTAGTATGTATGTATATATATATTTATGTCAACTCAACAACATAATCTCTTAAATAACAAATCTAGTTTAGTTCCTACAGGTAAGTTTTAAGCACGCAACAATGCTAACGGGCAACGTACCATAGTGTATTTAGAAGCTCTTAGCATATCAATGCGATATATCACGCTACTCACTGGAGGTTATTAGGATATTTAGCATTCCACTCCCAGAGCTTTTCAGAAATTGTAGATAATGAGACCGGCACCGTGTTGAGGGCAGGACGAAGAAGCTGGTACTGAGAGGATTGCAAATGCTGGATTTCGTCGGTTTGCTGCATAAAACGCTGGTTATTGTAACCAACTAACCTTTGGAGTTCATCAACTGCATCAGTGGAAATGGCCGCATGTGGACAAGGAAAAATAGAGCTCGGTGACGTGTAGGAATTTTGCGAGTTATTTATGTTGAGAAGGGAATGATTTTCTTCTTCTATGAGAGTGCTTGTGGTAGAAAAGAGTTCATGTGGCTTGATGTTATTGCTGACCAAGACATGGCTTTGATTAAGTTTCAGCAGATCATTTTCTTCTTCATGTGTTAAGAAAGTTGATGATTGTTGAAGGGTTGAGTGCTTCGCTGCGTTGGTGACAGATGATTGCTTGGGTGGAGGGAGTCGACGGTTCTCGTCTACTCCAGCTCTTTTGTACACGCGACAAAGTGAGATTTCAGCCTGCAAGCTCATTTCATAATGATGAGATTTTCTGTAATGTAAAATAGAAATGAAGATAAGGCATTATTGTTTGTTTGGTTG